TTCCCAGGGGCCTGGGGTTAAAGGATAAAACAGGTTGAGTGGTTTTTTGGGTGCCCTTTGGGGGGTGATGGACAGAAGCAGGGGGTCAGGCTCGATGATGCCATGGTTGGGGTCCTCCTTGGGTGAGCTGGGAAGGCCATGGGAGCCTGTGGGTAGCATAGTGAGGAAAGGGCAGAGCTCCTGGGGCTCCTGTGCCAGGCAGGGCAGTGCCTGAGGACACCAAGGACACTTCATGGTGCCCAGCATTAGCTGGGCTCCACAGAGCTGACATTTTTGAGAGGGAGAATTAGAATTAGAATTAGAGAGAAATTAGAAATTGCATTGAATCCAGCCTGATGCTGGATTTTGAGAAGAAACATGCCCAGATGAGAGCTCTGCTGCCATGGGGGAGGGCTGCCACCCCTCTGCAAACCACCACACTCCCCACACTTGCTGGAGCAATTTGGTGTTGCTTCCATCTGTTTGAAGCTTTCCCTGTTTTCTCCAGTCCCCAAACAAGGGGAGCAATGGTGGGACATGGTGTTTCCTCTGCTCCCTTTCTTGGCTCATCCCGTGCTGAGTGAAGCCCTCAGGGGTAGAGCTCCATGTTGGATCCAACACAGCTCGTCACATTCATGCAAACCTTGATTTATTCTTCCTGATCTTTTCCAGTACTTGGGATTTCTGGAGGGAACTGGACTTTTATATCACTTATATCTTCCTTGTGGCCTATATCCAGGAGGAATGAGCTCCAGATGGAGTTTTTCCATGCATGGCTATTTTTGAGGTACTTTCTGTGGTTCCTCTGATGCTTAATAAGAGCTGAGTGAATCCCACAATTCAGCTAGAGAGGAACATTCCTTCCTTTAGATTTTCCTTCTAAAGCACAGCATCTCCAGGCCCTCCACCTCACTGGTGCAGTGAATGGACATCAGGATCCTCCCCTGCATCAGGAGTTGGGATGTGCAGGGAAGAGACTCCAGCAGAAAGTCCTTCTTGCATGAAACAAGGTTTAAAATGCCAGACAGGAGTAGGATGAGTCCTTCCTGCAGCACTGTGGCTCTGGCTGTGCTGGGTGTACTGGGTGTGCCAGGTGGGCTTTGGCTGGGGCTCACTTTGGGGGCTCACTTTGCAGCTGAAGGGTGTGGGATGAAGATGTGACCCTGCTCAGTATGGATTTAGACAGAGCAGACAGGGCTCCAGTGCCTGAGCCTTGCCCCCAGCCACCCTGTAATGTCACTGTCCTCAGATGTCCCCGCACTGCTGCTCCTGCCAGGTCCTGTTGCTGTCAGGGATGAGACGTCGGGAGCTGACACCGCCTTGGGCCCCCTGGGAACGGCACCGGGCTCATTCCAGCCTGGGCTGGGGGTGGATGGGGCTGTGTCTCCATCTCCAGCTCTGCCTGCTCCTTGCTGGGGTTCATCCCCCCCTTCCAAACCAGGGGGGACAGCCAAAGTGCCAAAGGAGCCTGGTTTGGCAAGGGAGAGCTGTGCTTGTGTGTGCTTGAGGGTGCTTGGGGGGAAGAGCAGGTTTCATCAGATTTAAATCAGATTTAACCCCACGGTCCTGACTTGGCCTTTATGGGTCTGAGCACCCACGTGTCCCAGCAGGGGTGGAGATGCTTGTGGTGAATCCTATGAGGTTTCCTTGCCAGACATTGCAGAGCTGTCCCAGTGCTAGGTCTGCTCATCCTCAAAGCCTGAGTGTCCAGAACTGAGAATCCCACTGATGTCCCACCACTGCAGCTGGGCAAAAGCTCTTTAGGAGCTATTTGTGCTATCAGCAAAGGGATTAAATACTTGCTGAAGTCCCTTGGTGCAGACAAGGAACAACAGAAGGGATGAAAACAGAGGGGAATCTTCCCCACCCCCCATCACCTGAGTTACTGAAGCCATCCAGTCACCTCTGCTGGGGTCATCCAGTGCCCCAGCCATGATGTCACCACTCTCCTGCAGCAGGAAGGACTGAAACCTTCTGTGTTTTCAGAGGCTGGAGGAAAGGGGAGCCCTACCTCAATTGTCTGCAGGTGGCACGGGGAGCACAAGGGGAAGTTGGGGCGCAGTGTCTCTGCTGTTGTCTCTGTTTGTGTGCTGGGGTTGGTGGTGGTGGATTGCTGAGCTTTGGAGATCTCCCGGGACCATTGGTGTTCCCTTGCAGGTTGTGGTGCCTGCAAAACCCCAAAGTGTGGTGCAGGGATGTGAGCCTGCTGTGGTCCAACCTGGAGCCAGCAGCACTGGACACATCCCTGCTCTGTCCACTGTGGCTTTCAACACCCTCCAACACTTCCCAAATTTCACTGAAAGTCCCATCCGCCTTTTTCCTGACTCCAAAGTCCCTCCCTGGGCTCTTCCTCAACCCCACTCATAATTTAGAGTCTGGTGAAGGATGGTTGGACAGGGCTTGGAGCATCCTGGTCTTGTGGAAGGTGTCCCTGCCCATGGCAGGGGGTGGAACTGGTTGAGCTTTTAAGGTCCCTTTCAGTGACCATTCCACCATTCCAAACCATTCCATGATTCTGTGGTGGCAGAACGCTGGAGACCTGCCAGGACAGGGAGTGGGGTTTTGCTCTGGGCCCTGGGGAGCTCACTGAGCCGCTTCCCCTTTCTGCCAGTCATGGAGTTGGTGGCCAAAAGTGACACTGGGAACTGGGCAGGTGTGCAGCTGATGTGTGGGACTGGTTATCACTGCTGGGGCTCCTGGCAGGGAGGGCCTTGTGAGGCTGTGGAAGAGGTTCCAGCGGGGTGGGTGGTGCAGGGGAAGCTCTGGATCTTGGGCAGAGCAGGCATGGGAGCTCCTCAGGTGCTCGTGGGCTCTGCCCTGGGGTTCCTGTCAAGCAGCAGCCTCCCCTGTGCCCTGGGCTGGGCTGGGTGTGGTGCCAGGGCCCTGCTGGGTGAACAGGAACCTCTGCAGCTTTGGCAGGGCTTGCATGCACCCGTGGCACAGATTTCCTCAGCCCCCTTGGAGCTGGTGACTCTTCCCTCCTCGCTGAATAAATTAGCAGCACAAGTGCTCACGGGGTGTGACTAAAGCAGGGCAGGCGCTGGTTTAGCAGCGAGGGGGAGGCCCCTGGCTCCAGCCCGACAGGCTCCCAGATGAGATAACTCCTCAGCAGAAGTGTCACGGGGGTGGGAGGGATGTACCTGTGGCAAAACCTCTATGAAATCATGGAAAATCACCAGCCATGCCTCTGTGTCTCAGCAAGGACTGAAGCTGTGCCCTGCTTGTGGGGAAACTGAGGCACAAAGCCTCACTTTCCCAAAGGTAAGGGGACTTTGCAGTGATGCCCCCTCTGTGACAAACACAGGATTTTCTCTCAATGGTTATGGATCGCTTCCTTGTGCCTTGTTCCCTGTCAGAGGAGTCTGCATCCACCTTGGGCTGGGAAGCAGTCTGATTGCTGGGATGGATCCCAGTGCTGCCTTCCCAGGGGAGTCACCCAGGGGCTGCTTCTGTAGGGATTGCATTTCCTTCTGCTGCTGCTCAAAGTAACCTTCCTTGAGAGAGAAATCAGGACTCTGAACACCTCAACATGAGGAACAGCTTCTTTCCATGGAGGAGGGCAAAGCACCAGCACAGCTGCCTGGGGAGGGTGTGGAGTCTCCCCTTGGAGACATTCCAAACTCTCCTGAGTGTGTCCCTGTGTCACCTGCTTGGCTTTGGCCCTGCCTTGGGAGGGGATTGGACTAGATGTTCTCCAGAGGTCCTTTCCAAGCCCAGCTATTCTGGGATTCCGTGACTTCAGCCTAACAGAGCCAAGGACAGGGGGTTTGGTTGCAAAGTTATGGAACAAAAGGATGGGTGAGCCATGTGTACACACAGCAGAGCAGCAACTGGAAAAGGAAATGGTTGTAACCAGAATTCTGGTTTTGTGTGTGAGTTTGGTGGCTGCTGGAACCCCTCATTGTCCCTGTGGATGGATCTGAATACAGACCACATCCTGGAAGAGGGATGTGAGCTTGGTCTCATGGATCAGGTGCATCCATCTCCTCCCTTCCAGGGCACAGGGTGGTTTTCCAACCTCTCATGCACCAAAAGAATTGGGATTTCTTCAGGATTTCCGCAGTCCTGTCTTTCAGTGATGCAGGTGGAGATGCAGGTGACTGGAGTGGGGTGTGATTATGGGATTTGGTTTGTGTTTTTGCTGGTTTGGGTGAACCCTCATGCCAACTGGGGCAGCTGTGAAATCCAGCTCGTGTTCCAGCAGCCACATTCCTGTGCTCCTCCAGAACGCTCCCTGTGCTTCCACATGGGCTCCTGGGATCCTCAGGGCTCCAGCAGCATCCTCAGACCTGTGGTGCTCTCTCCTCCCACTTGTGTCTTTGGCTGTTGCAAACCCAGGGATGGAGTCTCAAGGTGAGCCTGGGCTTCCTGAATCTCTTGGCCAGGCGTGGGGGTTCCTTTTGTCAGAGGGGTCATCGAGGCTGGAGCCCCTCCAAGGCCCATTTCTGTCTGTCACATCACCCCAAAGTGCAAGGGCAGGAGGTTGGTGTGGCTTTCCTCCAGCAGTTCTGCCCTTGGCACATTCCTCTTTGGAATTCCCTGAGATGCCACCTTTCTCTGGGGCTAAGGCAGGACATGTGGCCCACTTTGGAAACAGGGAAACTGAGTCAGGACCCCCGACACGACCCCCACAACACCTCCCAAGGTGACAGAGTCCTGTAGATTCCTCTGAGTGTCAGTGTGACCACGTCTGGCTGCCAGCCCTGGGGGGTTCAGCCCTCTCCTCTCCCCAGCACAGATTTTGGCTCCTCGTCTGACGAGGTTTTGCTGAGGAACAATTGTGTCTCTGCACAATGAGGAGCAGGTGGCTGTCTGAAAATACCCTCTGGAAGTGGTGTGTAATGCCTCCCCTCCCACTGGGAAGTATAAATACCAGTGCAATGCTAGCATTTACTGCTCCCTGCAAAGAAACTGGCAGATCTGGACATTCTTCCTTGTGGATTCTCCTCTGCTTTAGTAACTTGGAGTGAGCAAGGGTTGAGGTAGGAACTGCTTCATGGCTTTGGAGCAAGTCTTTGGGGCAGAAGTGTGTCGTTTAAGGTAAGATATGGGAGTGGCTGCCCTTTATTGCTTGCAGTGTCCCCTGTCCCCACCCTTTAGGGGTTCCCAGGGCTTCCCAGCACCTGAGACAGCTCCAAACCCCGGACACACTGCCCAAATGTCCTGTTCTGCCACTGCTGCATCTCCAACAGGTGGACATTGTCCCCTTGGGGGAAAAGGACACACTGCTGCAGGTGTGGGGACCCCAGGAGACCTCCCAGACCTGGATGAGAGAGGAGACAACGCTGCATCTTTTCTCAGGTCTCCCTGCATTCCCAGCTCCGATCTCGGCAAATCCATCTCACCTTTTGGAGTGGGAATACAATCCTCTGCTGCTAAAACCTGGCACCTTATTTGCAGCCAGAATGCCTCATTTCCCTTGTTATCCCTGGGTGTCCTGGCCATGCCCCTGGCACCAGGCAGGGACCATCTGTGAGTTCCCTGCCGGCGCTGGGGCTGCATTAGGGAATGTGGGAGCACTGGCACCATATGGGCCCCATGGAAAACTGCATCTTCCTTGTCCCCCTCAGGGGGCTGCAGGTCCCAAGACGCCACAGCGTATCCTGGGAATAAATGCAGGGACTTGGGAGAAAAGCTGGGATGAGGCTGTATCTGCTGATTGGTTTTCTTCATGGAAAGCAGATTTTTCCCCAGGAATTACCCAGGATGGAGAAGTCAGGATGCTCCCACTCATGGCAGGACTGCTCCAGTCCAGGCTGGTAAAACTAGGAAACCTTTGGAGTGTGTGGAAAGGAGTCAGTGCCTGGGCACAGGGATAGAGAGAGAGGGAAGCTTGGAGAGCGGCCCTCGGGGTCTGTGGGGCTGTCCAGAGGGATTCAATAGCTCCTGGCACATGTGGAACTCAGCTGGTGTCTGCTTTGGATATTTTGGCATGAGCAGCACTGCTCCTGAGGTCTCAGGGCACCTGGGAGGGGAAATCCCAGCCCATGACCTACAGGAGCATGTGGCAAGGACTGCTCCAAGACTTGCTGCAGGTGAACATCCTACACCTGGATAAGCGATTTCTGCTGTCAAGCCAGGGCTCTTCAGCATCCCCTTTGTCTTGTATGCAGAACAGGCTCCCTTTTCCCAACTCTAATTACCACATCTCTCTCTGAGGGTAAGAGAAATGGGCTCTGTGGCTTGGTAGGGATGGTGAGGATGTTCCCACTCTGTTTCCCACTGGTCAGCGGGTCACTGCTGACCTTTCTGGGGTAGGCAAAGGAGGATTGGTGGTTCAACATGTCCTGGCTGCTTCCAAGTGGTGTCTGACCTCAGTGAGGTGGGCAGGACTTGTGCTGGGATGTGGCTGTGTCTGCAGGGGCAGTGTCTGGGATCAGCCTGCTAGGAGTGCCAGGATGTGACACTTGGAGCCTGTCCTGGGGTCACATTTAGTGCAGTATCATGCATTAAAAAAGTTCCTGAAGGGTAAAACTGGCAGCAAAAGGGCATCAGGCTCTGATCCCTCCTGGATGTGGCAGGGAGGGGTCAGTGTGGGTGCTGGACCCTGAGTTTGGACGGAGGGGAGGCTGTTCCTGTGCCTGGAGTGAGGGGTGCTGGGGTGGGCTCTGCCACCCCAACCCTGCACTTCCGAGGCTAAGGTGGGCAGCCTTAGAGGATTTCCCAGGAGCAGGAAAGATCATAGTGACATTTTTATGGGATGATCAGTCTCTGAGAGCTTGTTGCCTCCCAGGAGCGTGTGAAAGCCTCTCTGCCAGCTGCCTGCTGTGTGATGGTCCTGCTGACAGAGCCACCAAAGCTTTCTCTTCCTCTTGTCAGGATGGGAGTGGAGCTGTTCAGAGAGGAAACACGAGGCTGTCTCTGTCCTCTGTGTGTGGGTAAAGCTGTGGGTGCTTCTCCCCCTCCCTGGGAAGGAAAAGCCAGGCTGCTCTCTGGGACCCAGCATCCCATGGGCAGCCTGACTCACAGCTGAGCTGTGCTGAGCGAGGCAGCAGCTCCAGGGCAGAAACCCCTTCTGAGCTGCTCCACATCTGGTCACCATGGTGGGGAGGTGGCCTCTCTGAGCAGGCAGCGTGTGACCGTGCTGGTTTCCATCCCAAAAATGGGGGAAAGCGTGGTTTTGGGGTGGAGGGGGGAGGGATAGTAAAGCAAGCACGTTTTCCCTGGCAAGAGACCTGCTCCAGCAAGCCTGTGCCTGGCAGCCCCACAGGACTAAAAATACCCAGCAAGGGCTGGAGCTGTGCAGTGTCTGTTTGCTCAGCTCCCAGCTGTCTCCTCGCAGCCTCACGGTTCTACCCAATGATTATCCCAGCACTTAAGGCCCTCTAAAGCCAGGCAGGAGCGTTTAGGGAATTCTCCCAGAGACCTGTGAAAGGCTGAGATTGACAGGCACTAATTGGGAGTAAGCTCAGGCCCTTCTGACCCCCAGTAGCAAAGAGCTGCTCTGGCTGTGCCCTCGCTGCTGCTGCTGCAGTCCCAGCAGAGTGTGGGGGTGGCTGGGCTGTCACCCACACTGATGTCCCCAAGGTCCTTCAAAGTGACCGCTGGCATGTGTGGGTTTGCCTGGGAGCTTTGCTGGGTAGGGACAGACTCTGTGTGTGCTCCCTCCAGCCAGGCTTCACCTGGAAACAGGTGAGATTCTCTTGCTTTTGGAGAATGGAGAAAAGCCCAAGGTCTGAGATGGGACAGAAATGAGGGCAGTTGACCCTGGACAGGAGCTTCCTGCACATTTCTGCTCATGTGCACATCCCTGGCTCCATGGATGTTGCTGTGTCCCTGTCCCTGTGCCCACATCCCTGCACACTCTCCTCTGCCTGTTGCTTACTGGACTCACTTCCTGCTCCACAGGTGTTGAATACAGCAGAGATCAAGCCCAGCCTGGTCCTGGCTGCCTCAGGTGCCATCCCAAATTAACCCTTTGCAGCTGCTGGCTCTGGCTGTTGGCCTTTCCCATGGGCTGTTCATGGCGTTGCTGTGAAAGCTGCAGTGCTTGAGTGGTTGTATCACCCAGGAATGATCACTCACAAATCCATGGGGCAGGAGAGTTGCTGTGGCTGTTGGAGGAATGGATCCATGGTGGGGATGCTGTCCATGGATGTGGACAGTCCTGCTGCAGTGCAGGAAATTTTCCACTCTTGGCCTGTGCCATGGTTCCAGCCAGGATGGGCACACGGGGCTGGACTGTGTCCAGAGCCACACTCAGAGGTGGCAGAGCATCCCCCTGGATCTCTGTGCCAGGGATTCTCACAGTGCAGCAGTGTCCTGGGAGGCACAGAGCGCCCCCAGAGCCTTGGGCTGGCTGTGCCCACCTGCCTGGGGGTCTCAGGCCGGCTCAGGGGGGCTTTGGCAGGTCTCTGTGGTGCTGGGAGGTCTCACCCTGCTCACAGGGCTGCTCCAGCTGCAGGGGGGTGTAGCAGCTCCTGCCTTACACCTCTGTGTGTGTCCTTGGTGGCCTGGGATGAGGGGGAAATGTGGCCTCCCTCAGTGGGGACACCCCCAAACCCTGGGCACAGAGGAGCTTTGGGTCACCAACGTTGCCTTGTCCAGGACAGTTTGCTTCACTGAGCATCCTCAGGGACAGGGCACAGAGGCTTTTGGGGACCAAAAGCAGAATGGGATGAGTCCATCCTGGAGCAGCATCAGTGCTGGGTAAGATCCCTGTGGTTCTGTGATCACTCTTCCTAGGCTGAGGGACCGGCTGTGCTCATCTCGCCATCTCCCTGCACCAGGAATAACAGGATGTGACTGTGGGCAGGAGCAGGTTTGCAGTGAAATAAACCCCCCCCCACCCCCGAACCACCCGTGCACAAGCTCAGCCATGGGGGAAGCAGAAAGAAAAGCAGCTCTTGGCTGTAAATCTGTGTCTCCTCCTGCACTGTGTGGGTCCAGCCCCATGGGTGACCTCCATGGGGAAGGACATGTGGGAATCTGCCACTGCCCTGCTGGAGTCTCCTCATGGTAAGGGTGTCTCTCCTTTGCAGCTGGGATAAATTTCCATCCCATCATTGCTCCAGTCAGGTTTATGTCTTGGTCATTCTCTGCAGCATTTCTCTTCCCTAAGGGCTTGCAGTGCTCTTCCCTCTGTGCCTTGATTAATATCTCTTAATTCATCTGCTAATTTCTTCCAATTCTCTAACAGCAGCTGGCTGGGCCATGCCCACATGGCTCATTTTGCCATTCAAGTCGTGCTCCAGAACTGCTGGACTTTCCCCAGCCTGGATGTTCTTTCTCCATGCTCATCTCTCAAGCAGAGGCACAGAAGAGGAGGGGGCATTTAGACCTCATTTAGGCTTTGCACCCAAATTAACAGGCCTTAGCCCTGGGGTATTGGTTTCTGCTCTTCTTGGCCCAGAATCTCCCTGGAGTCTGGGACATCTTACCCCTAGGGAAGCTGGCAGGGAGCCACATGCCTGTGAGTACCCCTGGGATGCTCATTAGGGGCACAAGAACTGGAAAGCATTTTCCGTGCTTCATTACAGGGATGAGGCTCAGGTCCAACTCGCCCCGAGGGGTGCAGGGGCTGGAATGGTCCCTCACTCTGTGCCTTGTCCTCCACCAGTCTTGTTTTGGTGGGATGCTGCAGGGATGGGATGTCCTCAGTGCAGTTATCCCATGGATCCACAGTTATCCTGGTCAAACACATCCCAACAGCCAGGATGGAGCGTGAACAGCCCTCAAAGCTTCAGCACACTGTTACTTGTCCACAACAGGTTTTATCCCTCTTGAGGATCCAATCTGTGAAGGGAGGGGAGGGCACCACCTGTGGGACAGCCCTGTCCTATGTCCCTGTGTGCTGGAGCTGGCTCTCAGCATCACGAGAGGGGCTGCTGCTTTTGCCACAGCTTCTCTATTTTTAGAGAGTTTTTTGTGTCAAACTTCCCTTCAGCTGATGAGCCAATGTCATCCAAAGAGCAGAGTTCTGATTCCCCTGCCCTGGCAGTGTCTGGTGTGACAAAGGCACCTCTTCACAAGTGTCACCTTTCATCAGGGCAGGTCCCTGCTGTGTCACTGAGCTGTTGGACACACGAGCTTTCATCCCAGCCCAAAGGGCCAGAACAGGCTGCTCTGCCCAGGCCTGTGTGTAGGTCCTTTTTATCCATTTTGTGGGGGTGGGGAGTTTGAAAGGGAAGTGACAAAATCTCAGCTGGTTTGGGCTGGAAGGGACCTTAAAGCTCATCCAGTCCCACCCCCTGTCATGGGCAGGGACACCTTCCACTAGCCCAGGTTGCTCCAAACCCTGTCCAGCCTGGCCATGGACACTTCCAGGGATGGGGCAGCCACAGCCTCAGAATATTCAGAATATTCAGACCTGTCCTTGAACATTTCATCTGGAAAGTTGAACTGGAATGGTGCCTGCCCTGGAAGCAGCACTAGACCAGCACTCCTCACCCTGGGCCTGCCACGTTGTTTTTTGCTGCTCAGCTCAGGACAAACCTGCCCATGGTTTGTCCCCTGGCACAGATGGTGCCTGGGGTGGCAGTGTCACACTTGTCCTTGCTGCTGGGGATCCTCAGCTGGCTGCAGAGGGCTGAAGTTCCCCCTCAGGACTGTGAATCCCCACCTGAAACCTTGTCTGGGATGGTTTGGGGCTGCAGAAGGGAAGGAGGGGCTGTGGGCTCCAGCATCACCCTGGGCTGGGTCCTCAGGTCCAGCCATGCTTTAATCCAGCCTATATTGCCCAAATGTCAGCTCTCCCTGTCCCCTCAGCCTCTCACCCCTGGTGCTTGTGCTTGGGCAGGAATTTGGGAATACAGCTGCTTCCATTCCCCTGGGAGAGGTTTGACCAAGGGAGGAGGTGCTGGAGTTCAGTTGTCACTGAACAGCTGGGCCCAGCACATCTGTCTAGAAGACAGGGGAACATGAATCCAATCATTCAATCAATCAATCAATCATTCTGTTGCTGTGACTTCCTGCCAGGTTTGGGTCAAACTCAGCTTTGGAGCCTGATTTTCTGCAGATTCCCTGAGGCTGGGGAACACTGGGGCCACAGGGGCCCTGGAGGGTTGCAGGATTTTGGGTGCCAGGGTTGCTGTTTCCTGCAGCCTGGTGCCATCCTGGATTCGCATCAGGTTGGTCCCTGAGTGCAGGAGGAAAAAGCCAGCACAGCCCATTCAGGTGGGTGCTGAGCCCACCTGGTGCAGCTCTCAAGGGTTTGATGGGGGGCAGAGGGGGCTGGACAGGTCTCTGGGCATTTTGGAGGCAGCAGGAGGGATCTGATCTCTGTCCCCTCTGCCACAGGTCATTGCCGGCTGTTTGAAGAGCTGTGATGCCTGACGGAGACACGCTTCCACATCAGCAGTGACACCTCATCCAGCTTTAGGGACAACAGCCCGTCCTCGGCAGAGCCCCCCTCAGCATGCCCAGGCTGCCAAAACATTCCCTGGACCCTCCCTGTGCTGCTTTTGGCTTGGGCTCTCCACTGGGACAAATCCTCAAGGGTCATTTTGTCACTCCCTGAACAGCCCGTGGGTCACAGATGCTGCAGCCCCTTGGAAAGGCATCAGGGAGGTGACACACAGGACCCTGGAGAAGTGACAACAGGAGCCAGGAGAGGTGACACACAGGAGCCAGGAGAGGTGACAACAGGACCCAGGAGAGGTGACAGCAGGACCCAGGAGAGGTGACACACAGGAGCCAGGAGAGGTGACACACGGGACCCTGGAGAGGTGACAGCAGGACCCAGGAGAGGTGACACACAGGAGCCAGGAGAGGTGACACACAGGACCTAGAAGAGGTGACACACAGGACCTAGAAGAGGTGACACACAGGACGCAGGAGAGGTGACAGCAGGACCCAGGAGAGGTGACACACAGGACCTAGAAGAGGTGACACACAGGACCCGGGAGAGGTGACAGCAGGACCCGGGAGAGGTGGCAGCAGGAGCTGGCAGTGAGGAGCAGCGAGCAGGGCCCTGGTGACAGTGAGGACCCTGTTGGTGCCCAGGACATCCCCGCACCTGCTGGAGCGATGCCAGCTGCTGCTTAGCACCCCAGGAAGGGATGGGGAGTCCCCCCCCTTGAGCACCCCGCTGTCCCCTCCCGTGCTGGCTCCCCTGGCCCCGGGAGCCCGCAGTGATGTGACCTGTGCTCGGCACAGCCCCAGCCCTGTTGGGAGCCTCCCCCAGGCAGCCCAGCCATGATGTGCGAGGTGATGCCCACCATCAGCGAGGGGGACCCGCTGGGGCCCCCCCAGGGCTCGGAAGCGGACGCTGACTTCGAGCAGCTGATGGTGAACATGCTGGATGAGAGGGACAAGCTGCTGGACACGCTGCGGGAGACGCGCGAGACGCTCGCCGTCACCCAGAGCCGGCTGCAGGAGACGCTCCGGGAGCGGGACCAGCTCCAGAGGCAGCTGAACTCGGCACTGCCGCAGGTGAGGAGCTGCCCCTGGCAAAGGCAGAGCCTGCCTCGAGGCACTCCAGGGGGATTGGATGTGGGGTTTGGCCCATGCCTCTGGGAGGGTTGGCTTGGTGTGACACTGCTGACACTGCTGCCAGTCCTGAACCTCATGTGAGCGGTAAATCCTGGAGGTTCTGCCACTTGGACATCTCTGCTTCTCCTCTGTACCCTCGCTGGTCTGTGAGGAGGGGTAGGACTGCAATCCTCCCTGTCCACAGGGGAATGGATTTGGAGAAGGGGCAGAACCTCCCCAAGGACACCCCAGGGTGAGAGCAAGGCAGAGCCTTCGCTTCCCGTGGGGACAGTCAGTCCGCTGGGGGACAGCACCTGAGGAGCAGATAGCTCAGTTTGGGCAGCAGATGTGGCTTTCTACCACCAATCAAATTCTTGGGATGTCAGGAAGTGCCGAACCCACATTGGCACTTCAGATGGGGACATGAACCATGAACCATTCATCACTGTCCTTCCCCACTGTGCAGAGCAGCCCCACTGCTGCCCCTCCCCTCGCCAGGTCTCCTTTCCACCAGCTCCCTTCCCCAGGGGGGTGATGGGACTTCTCTGTCTCAATCTTGGTCCTGAGAGGGGACACTGGAGGCAGAGCTGCTGCAGGGTGGGGACTGGGACATCTCAGGGAGCAGAGGGGCACAGGACAGCAAGGTCTGTGCTCAGTGGGCAGCCCAGAGCTTGGGGAACCAGGGCTTGCCTTGAGGCTTCTGCTGGTGCTTTGCTCCTGGTTACTCCACCTGCAGGAGCCTCTCTAGGTACTGCAGAGGCCTGGATTTGATTTCCACAAAGATGTTGAGGCTAGAAGAGGGTGAGGTGGATGAGCCCAGTGTCACAGGGCTGTGCAGGATGAGTCTGAGCTGCCACCATCCCTGTGGGGTCTCGTGGGACAGCACAGTGCTCAGACTTGGGGGAACAGGGATTCTGGGGGTTGTTGCTTTGCTCCATTGTGGGTATGGTGTGAGAGGAGCCCAACAGCCAAGGGAGGCAGGAGGCTTTGAGTGTTTGCATCTGCAACTCTGCAGTGCTGAGACCTGAGATCCTCCTTGCCTGGGCATTGGGGTTTGGAGCACCTTGGAGAGATGGGAAATGGTGGCAGGAGCTAGGACAGAGCTTGGGCTGTTGGCTGGCCAGCTCTCTGCATCCCTGCCTTGTCTGTATGGAGGAAAGAGCTCGGGAACAGCTGCTCTGTACAGAGATGGGTACAGAGTGCTGCTTCTGCCCAAGGTGCTGAGAGCAAAACCCCCAGCAGTGCTCCCCAGGAGCTCCTGGGCTCCCTGCAGGTGAGTTTCTACCTTCCTGAGACATCTGCTGAGACGTTCCTGGGTGTTGGGTGCAGCCAGTCTCAGCACCACCTCCCTGTGCGGGGGGCTCGGTCCCTGTGCTCCCCGCTCTGGAAAGAGCAAGCCAGGTCACCCCGGGGCTCTGCCCGCCCCACCACAGCCTCCCGGATTAAGGGATGCGCGGATTTAGCTCCGCTCCCGCTCCAGCAGCGGCCCCGGGAGCCTTGGGGTGTGCTCGGAGCAATCTGGGTCAGCACAGGCAGTGCCTGCGAGCCGCTGGGTGCCTGCCTGGGGCTGCCCCCGGCCCCTGCAGCCCCGGGATGTGACTGGGCTGGTCCCATGGGGAATTCCCTGCCGCCTCCTGTGGGCCCTGCCTGGGTGTCGGGTGTCCCCCGGTGTCCCCCGTGCTCACTCCTGGACATGAGGGCTCAGCATGAACACGGGAAGCGAACCCAAAGGCGCTCACCTGCCCAATGGGATTAATCCCAGCATGTGCATGTACCAGGTAAGTGGCATTGGGACCGTGGGTGTCTCCCCGGGGCGCCGTGTGGGGACATCCCATAGGTTTGTCCCATTCTCTTCCTCCTTCTCTGTCCTCTCTTTAGCCCAGGAGCTTCCTGTGGTGTCTCAGACCCCATTGGGAATAGGATGCAAGCTGGATTTCTGGGAGAAACCCTTCTTTGAGGGCAGGCTTGGGCAGCCAGGCTCATCAGTAGTGTCCCCTGGGTGCAGCCAGGCTGGAGTATCCACTGCCTGCTGAGGCTGGGACGGATGGCAGCTGGGGATGTGGCACTCTGCACCCTCTCAGGGCACAGAGGCTGCTGGATGCTGCTGTGTTGGCATGGGATCCAAAGGGACAGGCTGGGAATGTGCATCTGCTGCAGCTCCAGGTGTGGGGAAGGCAGAGGATGAGCCTGCCCAGGGCAAACCCCTTGGCAGGGATGCTCCAGGGATGCTCCTGCCTGTAGCTCTCATTCCCCCTTGCCTGTGCTGCATGGCTGAGCCATCCCCACCCCCAATCCATGGAGGCATCCCTCAGTCCCCAAAAGACAGAACTCCAGGGTGATTTCCTGGGGAGACTAAGCTGCCTTAATGCTCCTTACGTGATTTATTTATTCATGTGGGAGTGCTGAATGCGACTTAATCAGGCTGAGAGCTCCAGCTCCCCTGTTCTGCAGGGAATTTGTGGCCGAGGTCTCAGCTCTCAGTGGGTTCTGGGTGCTCTCAGCAGTCCTTCAAGGCCCTGGCTTTGTTCCCAGCTCCCTGCTGCCCAGCCCTTCAGCTCAGTTTCTCCTGGGGGCAGGTGCCACCCAGGGATGTGACACTCGGGGCTCCCAGTGCAGGGTCCTCTGTGGGACAGAGCTCCTCCCTGTCCTGCCTTGGCTCAGGGCTTTGGCAGGAGTCTCTGTCCCCACCTGTGTCAGGGGGATTTCACGGAGCTGGGGGCTGCAGATTGTCAATGGCCACAGAAACCTCCCATGGTTCCTCCTTCCATGAAGCTGTGCTGCATCTTTGCTGCCTCTTGGGCTGCCTGGAGAGCTGAGATCTGACCTTTTTGGGGTGAGCAGACCCCTTAAGACTCCCCAAACTCCTCGAAGGTCCCCCAGGAGCTGGGGTCGGTCCTGAGATCAAACAATCCCATTTAACTTCAAAGCATACCTTGATTTAACTTGCAAAGACCAGCAGGTAAACAGGAACCTCGGGAGCCCCCACTGGGTAAGACCCTTAAAGCATCTCTGGATTTTGGGAAGGATGGAGGGATCTGGCAGCTGTGTGGAACCCTTGGAGCTGGTTGTGCTCCTACAAGACTAGGATGCTGAGAAGTTGGATTCCTGCTTGCCTGGCTGCACAGTGCTCCTCCCTGAGCAATCCCAGGTGGAAATACACACCCTTAGGAAGGGAGGACACCGATTCCCTGGGGATTCACACAGTGCCCAGGTGTTGTATCCAGGAGGTCTGGGAGACGCCTGTGCCCAGCGCTGGGGGTGGGTGATGGTCCAAATCCTGGGTTTACCCAGCAGGATTTAATCTGTGTAATCCCATGCTACAACTGTTGGGGTTGTGCTTATCCCCTTGGCTCTGGACTGGGGCTGTCTCTCCATGCTGCTCCACTCCTGGGATCCACAGACTGGGCTGCCACACCGGCAGACGATGGATGGGACTCTCATGCTGAGTCAGCAGCAGTGATTTCCTGGCATGGGCATCCTTCCCACACATCCCCTGCTGCTCCTGTCAGGAGCAATCACTCCAATTAGGGACTTTAAAGTGCTGTTAATCCTGCAGCTGGAGCTGGTTTGTCCCCAGGCTTGGGTGCATTGGAGCAGCAGCCACGCTCCTGACGCAAACAGAGAATTTTGCTGGCTGTGGTGTGATCCCTCTGCATCCCTGTGTGTGCTGTGGACAGCACTGGGAGAGACACAAAGGGGCCCTGGGCTGAGGACTTTGGCATTCCAGCTTTTCCATGCTGCAGGCTTTGGAGCCTTCTCCCCCTGAGCTTCCTAAACCTCTCCGTGCTTTTCCAGCCATCTCCACGCTGCTGCTTCCTGGCCTCCCTCCAGCTCTTCCCTGTTCCTTTTCCCCCTGATGCAGCCTAGGAGGAAAACCCCAAACCCCAACATGCATGGTGCAGTCTGAAGATCTGAGTCCCAGTCCACAGCATCCCACACTTCAATACCTTGTGTGGTGCTCCAGGTCTCCCTCCCTGCTCCAAAAGTGAAAACAGCATCTCTCATCCTGCTCCATCTCTCCATCCTGCTCCATCTCTCCATCCCTCCATCCTGCTCCATCTCTCCATTCCTCCATCCTGCTCCATCCCTCCATCCTGCTCCATCTCTCCATCCTCCTCCATCCTGCTCCATCCTGCTCCATCTCTCCATCCCTCTCCATCTCTCCATTCCTCCATCCTGCTCCATCTCTCCATCCCTCCATCTCTCCATCCTGCTCCATCTCTCTATCCTGCTCCCAGACCCCAGGACTTGGGCCCAAGTGCAGTCAGTCACACAGTGGAGGTTTGGTTTTAATCCAGACTGTCCCCTTCCTGAACTGCTGGGCTTCCTGCAGGGCTCCCAGGGACTCCCAGTCTGTGTCTCCTTGTCCACCCCTGGAGATCAGGCACCTCTCCTTCACTTTCTAATCTGTTTATAGGCATCCCTGCTTAGTCTCAGAGCTTATCAGAGCTGGGCAGGCACCTCTGCCTCGCCTGGGAGACTCCTGGCCACGGTCAGGGCAGAGGAAAATCATCTGGATGCTCTGTCTGGACTTTGCTGGCATGGAGGGCCATGGCACACCTGTGGATGGGTGACACTCCACAGGGTGACACTGCAGCCCTGAGCTGAGGACAGCTTGCCATCATCCCCAGCTTGCCTGGTGCCCACCAGTGACCCAGAGCAAGGTGGCAGCTTTGGCATCTGGCACAGCCAGGGCTGACAGAGGTAGATACAAGTGGCTGCTGGAGTGATTTATTGCTATTTTTTATTCCCAAGGCATCATTCTCAGGCTCTGTGTACTCAGCTGACCTCACTGCTGGCCCGGCTCGCTGCAGGGCTGTTGCTATTTTTGATGTAAATGTTCATTTTTGCAGCCTTTCCCCGAGGGGTGGCAGTTACTGAGGGCTCTTTGATTTGCCATGGGGTGCTCGGGGCCTGGCACAGGATGTGGGACACAGAGCACAGGATGCATTCCTGTGGGGATGGAGGCTCAGAGGAGCAGCCCTAGGGAAGGGGCTCTGTGCTGTGCCCACCCCTGGCTGTGACCTGCTGACCGTGTGTGCAGTGGGCTGGCTGCAGCAGGGGCTGTCTCTCTCTCCAGAGGATTTGCTCCCTTTTAATCCCCTCTTTCAGGATGAAATCCTGATTGCAGGAGCATCTGCACAGCCTGGCCCCCAGAGCGAGGGAGCGCAGGGAGAGGAGGCTGAGTGCTGGTGGTCCCTGTCCCCAGCACTGGCCATCGCTGTCACCCTGCTGCCTTCAGTGCCTTGTCCCACCCATCCAGCACTGTTTCCTGCAGGGGAGGCACATCTATGCCCACAGCCAGTGTCCCCTGCCAGCCAGGGCACAGCAAGAAGTCTCCACCTTTGCAGGAGCAGAGGCTTTGGATCCTCACGGTCTTGCCCAGGTGCTGGAGAAGCCCAGAGCTGATGCATCCTCCACGTTTCCAGCTCGGGCTGTTGGAAGACATTCCCGGGGCCATCCTGGCTCCCAGGCTGCTTTTCCTGGTCTCCTGGAGCCCTGCTGCTTGTCTCATGGTGTGCTGAGGGACTGGGGAGTGACAGATCCCTAAATCTGAGGCGATGCACCGGCACCTCTCTGGCTCATCTCCCTGCTGCTTTCTGCTCTCCGGCATTCCCAGCCCGGCTCTAATCCGCAGGGATGTTTGGGAGCTGCTGGCAGCGCTTGCATAACCCACGGAATGTGCACGTGTGCCTGGGGCCCATCCTCATCCTCATCCTGGTCCTGATCCCGGTCCTCATCCTGATCTCGATCCTGATCCTGATCCCAGTCCTGGTCCTGATCCTGGTCCCAGTCCTGATCCCGATCCTGGTCCTGATCCCGGTCCTGGTCCTGATCCTGATCCCTGTCCCGGTCCTGATCCTGATCCCGGTCCTGATCCCTGTCCCGATCCTGATCCTGGTCCCGATCCCAGTCCTGATCCCTGTCCTGATCCTGATCCCGGTCCCGATCCCAGTCCCGATCCCCATGCCACCGGCATCCCAGCACCAAGGAGTGCACAGCGGGCTCCCGGTGGAGCTGGGTCTGCTGAGGGCTCCCCGTGCCCTGGGGGCTGTGGGATGGTCCCAGAGCAAGTGTGGGATGGGGTGTGGCAGAGCTCGGTGATGAGGTTTGGGGTGCTGTAACAGATTTGGGGAGAACTGGTGGGAGAAGGGTGATCCCAGGGTTGGAGAGCTTCCTGAGGAAGAGATGGGGCCAGGGGTGATCCCAGATTGGAGGGGTCCCTAAGAAGGGAGAGGAAGAGGGAAAACTGCAGGGCTGGAGTGGTCCCTGGGGAATGGATGGCACAGAAGGGGTCCGGGAAAGAACCGGGGCCCTGGGGCGATGCTGGAGCAGGGATGTCAGAGTTGGAGCAGGGGCCTGAGGCAGGAAAGCAGCTCTTTATGGGGACAGTGACCCTTTCCCCTCACTGTGACCTGCTCAGGTCCTGTCCCACTGTGGGGTCTCAACTGCATCAGTGCCACCACCATCCCCAGCAATCCCAGGCTACAAACCCCACCACTGGGACACGTTTGGGGTGGGGAAGGAGACGGAAAACCTGGAGCAAACAGATGAAAAAGCTCTGGATTTCCTGGAGCTTCAGCTGTTATAGGAGGTTCCACTTGGAGCGGAGCAGAGCATTTGGTTCAGCCTAAGCCTCAATGCTTTGCTTCGGTTTGAAGGGGTTTTATTTGCTAAACCTGAAAATTAAAGTGAAAAAGAATTTCATGCTGTAAAACAGCTCTCAGCCCCCTCTTGAAATTTGGTTTGTTAATGCTCTGTCAAATCCTTCTCAGCTTCTTCTGAAATCCTTTGCCTTTTAAAATTCTTCCCAACACCACCGAACCTGGTGTGAATTCATGGCGCATTCCCACATTTGCATTTCTCACCCTAAAAAATCCCAGCTGCAAAATCTCGCTTGTGCCTGGCACCACTGAAGAGCAGCTGGGAGCAATGGGCCGTGCTCCTGGGCTCCCCCAGGTGCCTGGGTTTCATTTTTTGGGGGAAAGGGAACCCTTTTGCATCCAAGGGACTTCAAGGCAAGTTTCCCTTCCCCTCTGACACAGCCACAGCTGTGATTGTGGTTTTCATCCTGTCTCAAGGGATGTGTTGGGTGTGCAGCATTCCTTCGGCATTGCTCTGGGCATGGCTCTTCCTTCCTGTCACAGCCCTGGAGGGAGCGGTGGCAGCAGCAGGAGCTGGTGGCACCTGGCATGTCTCCTGCTGTGTCCTGTCCCTCTGGACTGAGGCAGCACCCTCTCACCCTCTTGCTTTTGGAAGGAAGTTTTGGATGATTCCAGGTCCTGAGGACATGGTTGATGGGCAGGGGATTTATCCTGTCCAGCTGTGGCTTTGTGGTGAGTTTTAGCTGATGGGATGCTCCAAGGTGGGAGCTGCATCCAGGGCACGGTGGGAATGGGAACATGCTGGTGGTCTTGACTGGGATGCTTTAAGTGCCACTGACCTCCTCTGCAGCCGTGGAGCAGTTCCTTGTGTCACTGGGCATCAAACCAAGTGGGATAAATCTTGAGCTGCTGTGTTCTCCAAAGCTGTGCCCAAAGCATGAGGGAAGCCAGGAATAAATCCCCTCCCGGGCTGGCTGTGCCTCTCCACGTTCCCCGTGGTGTTACCCTGGCTGGGTTTGGATGGGAAGTGCTGCTCTGGAGGTCCAGCAGCAGGGCTGGAATGCTGACTCCATCCCATCCGCAGGAGTTTGCGACGCTGACGCGGGAGCTCAGCACCTGCCGGGAGCAGCTCCTGGAGAGGGAGGAGGAGATCTCGGAGCTGAAAGCCGAGCGCAACAACACCCGGGTGAGCCTGGGGACGCTGCTGGCAGGCCCTCAGTCCTGGCACTGTGGGACACCAGGGGCTGCTGGGCCCATCCTGGAAGTGACAGCCCCTCTCTTGTCCCACTGCAGCTCCTGCTGGAGCACCTGGAGTGCCTGGTGTCACGGCACGAGCGTTCCCTCAGGATGACTGTGGTCAAGCGCCAGGCCCAGTCGCCATCTGGGGTGTCCAGTGAGGTCGAGGTGCTCAAGGCACTCAAGTCACTCTTTGAGCATCACAAGGCACTGGATGAAAAGGTAGGAAAGCTGCTTGGACCTCTCCTGCTCAGAGCTCCTTCTCCTAACCCTCTGCTCCCTCCCTGCTACTTTGTGCTGTTAAGGTGACGTGGGGGCCCTCATCAAGAAAGTCTGGGATATCCCAAAGCAGCATTGAGGTGCTGCTGGGGCTGCCCAGGGGATCCTCTGGGTTTGAGGCTGTTGGGGCCACGGAATTCCCCCAGGTCACTCTCGGGGTGGTGGCATTTGACACCCTGGGTCAGTCTTCACTGTTCCTCCTCCTTCATTTATGTCAAGCATCTCCTTCCTCTGCTGGGACACCTCTCGGGGCTATTCTGGCCATAGATCTCCAAGAACTGCCCCAGGCTATTGTCTCCAACACAATTTCACATCACCACCACCCCCCCACCATGGGCTGGATGATCCTGAATCTGTGAATCCACCTGAGCCTGCTGTCAGCCCAGCAGACAGGCCTGGGAGCATGCCTAGATCCTGGGCACCATCATCCTGAATAAATAAATGAATCAAACAGCCTTTGCCGTTGTTTCACTCCCCTGCAGGTGAGGGAACGCCTGCGGGCAGCCTTGGAGCGAGTGGCCACCTTGGAGGAGCAGCTCGTGGATGCCCATCGGCAGGTAAGGGGTACCTGGGCACCTGCTGGGCTGGGAATGCCCCAGTCACCTTTGGAGTTCATGGGGTATTTGCATTCCATCAGGTTTGATGTAAGGCTTTTGTTCTAAAATCGCTGTTTACTTGAATGTTTGTATTTAAGGAAACCTTGTAAAGATTCTGAAAACCATTTGTCTCACAGATGATACTTACCTGTTGTTTTCTGTTTGGAATTCATGTCACTGACAAAAACAGTCTGAATCTGAACTATTCCAGGGGGCTGAGGGTGACTGGGGATTTTCCCTAATTTCACAGAAACCCAAACCACACTGCTTCAAGCACCTCATCTTGCACCCTCATCCTCTTCCCTGCTGGGACTTCACTGTCCCCAGCCTCCAGCCATGGCCATCTCAGAATCCCAGACTCATTTGGGTGGGAAGGGACCTCAAAGCTCATCTCATTGCACCCCCTGCCATGGGAGATACACCTTGCACTATCCCAGGTTGCCCCAAGCTCTGTCCAGCCTGGCCTTGGACACTTTTCAGGGATAAAGTGTTCCTCGAGAGACATGGCCTCTGTTTTCCTTCCTGGAGTTTGTGCCCAGCCACTGCTCCAAAAAGGAAAGAGCCATTCCTACAGCCTCTGCTGGTCAAATTTTGCTCCTCTTTCCACTTCAGGATAAGCCTCGTGGTATTTCCAAGGCTCCCAGGCCCCTCTCCTTGCAGAGACTATTCTCCATCCTCCCCTATCATAGCAGGACATGGTGCCAGTGTTCATCCCCTGCTCCTGCTGGGCTGGGTTCAGGATCTGTCTGCCTGTAAACCAGTGAGATGAGCTGGGAGGGAGACCTGGAATCCAGGACTCACCAGGAAAACCTCCCTCAGTGCTGAGCCTTCCCAGCACCTCTGACTTCCTATCAGAATTGTGGAATCATTAAGGCTGGAAAAGCCTCCAGCCTTTGACCAAACTCCCCCATGCTCACTGAACAATATTGTGAAGTTCCACTTGTTTTTTGAACGCTTCTAGAGATGGTGACTCCATCTCTGCCCTGTGTAGTTGTGCCAGAGCCTGACCACCCTTTCAGGGAAAGATTTTTTCCTGATGTCCAACCTGACCCTCCCCTGGCATAGCTTGATGCTGTTTCCTCTTGTCCTGTCCCTGTTCCCTGGGAGCAGAGCCTGACCTCTCCTGGCAGGGAGTTGTGCAGAGCCAGGAGGTTCCCCTGAGCCTCCTTTTCTCCAGGCTGAGCCCCCACAGCTCCCTCAGCTGCTCCTGGTGCTCCAGCCCCGTCCCCAGCTCCGTTCCCTTCCCTGGAAGGAAAGGCTCCAGCTCCTCCATGTCCTTCCCACACCGAGGGGCCCAGAGCTGTCCCCAGGATTGGAGGTGTGACCCCAGCAGTGCCGACTCAGGGCTGCTCCTCCCCCGCTCCCCCCAGCCACAGGCAGGACTCTGCAGCCCTGGCTGCAGGACTGGCCTCACCTGCTGCTGTCCCCACTGCTGTCCCTGTTCCTGTGCAGGTGGCAGCTCTGCAGCAGGGCTCTGCCCGGGAGCCTGCGGCGGGCGAGCGCGAGGAGAGGGAGCCCAAGGAGCCGGCCCCGAAGCTTCCCTGGAAGGTAGGAGCCCTGGGAACCCCTGCTCTGACCACCTTCAGTGGGGCTGTCTTTTCTCCCACCTCCCTGTTGCTAACTCCGGGGTGCTCTCCCCTGGTTCCAGCCCCATGGGAAATGCCTCTCCTGGTGGATACAGGCCATTTCTGAGGGGGGGGATTTGTGCTGGGGTGCTCCAAGGGGTTCTGCTTCCCAGAGATCACAGAATGCTTTGTATGGGAAGAGACCTTAAAGGCCATCTTCTTCCAACCCCCACCACAGGCAGGGACACCTTCCACCAGATGCTCTGGGAAGCCCACACCCATCCCTGTTCCATCACTGCTGTAAGAAGCCCTATCCCTGTCGTGTGGAGGCTGCTGCTGGAGGTCCCAGAGACCCCTGTCTCCACTTCCACCTTCTCACCAAGTCCCTGCAGGGCCACATTCCCACTCTGAGTGGCTGCAGGCAATGCTACAGCCTGGGAGCTTTGGAGCATCCTGATATCCACCTCCCCCTCTGGTGCCTTGCAGCGTCTCTCCAATGGCTCTGTCCACTCAGATGATGAGGCTGGGCGGGTGGTGGAGCTGCAGGAGCTCCTGGAGAAGCAGAATTTTGAAGTGGTCCAGGCCAAGGAGAGAATCTCTGCCTTGGCTGCCAGCGTGGCTGAGCTGGAGGAAGATCTGGGCACCGCCAGGAAGGATCTGATCAAATCTGAGGAGATGAGCAGCAAGTACCAGAGAGACCTCCGAGAGGTAAGTCCCTGTCCCCCTGCACGGCCCAGCCTGGGGCAAAGGCCTCACATCTGCTTCCACTGGACTGGGAAGGGATTGGAACTCCTGTTGTGTGCAGGGGGTTCTCCAAGAGAGGCCACTACCTCGGGAAATTGTCCCCAAGTCCACCAGCAGGGTTTCCCTGAGGTTACAGACAGGCTCTCTGGTGTGCTGCACACCTGGTGCACTGTGTCCTCTCTAGAAGGTTTTCCTGTGATTGTTTGACTGTCCCTTTATCACTGTCTCATTCTGCTGTCCCTCATCCCCGTGTCAAGGGGGGGTTTTCACACCCCTTGGTCTTGGGGTGTCCCAGGCTTGAAGGAGCTGGCTAACCCTGCTGTTCCCAAAATGCTGTCACAAAGCAGGATAGGACAGCCCCATTGCTTCCCCAGGCCCTGGCACAGAAGGAGGACATGGAGGAGAGGATCACCACGCTGGAAAAACGGTACCTGGCAGCCCAGAGAGAGGCCACCTCCATCCACGACCTCAATGACAAACTGGAGAACGAGCTGGCCAACAAGGAGTCCCTGCACCGCCAGGTACCGAAACCGGCCCCAAAGGGGGCAGAAGGGGGTGCTGGGGTGGGACACGCAGCAGTCACTCACCCTGCTGTCCCACAGTGCGAGGAGAAGGCACGGCACCTGCAGGAGCTGCTGGAGCTGGCGGAGCAGAAGCTGCAGCAGACCATGAGGAAGGCAGAGACGCTGCCCGAGGTGGAGGCAGAGCTTGCCCAGCGCATTGCTGCCCTCACCAAGGCAAGGGGCAGGGCTGGGCCGGGGCCAGAGGGAACAGGAGGGAAGGGGTTGGAGAAGGAGGGCAGGGATTGGAGCCGGGGAACAGTTCTGGGACCAGGGCCGCCCCCGGCAGCCCAAGGCATCCCAGTCTCCTCCCAGCTGTGGCCTCTGTGTCCTCTGCTGTCCCCACTGCAACAGAGATCCTTTAAAGGACACCTCAGTGTGTCCTGCACACGTGGGGCTTGCTCCCAAGGGATGGCCCTGTCGGTGTGCATGCCCTTTGACTTGGGTGAGACCACACCAGGATGAGGAGAAAGAAGAAGCACCAAACTAGATCTTGAAAGAGCGCAGGCCTGGAGGGAGGGATGGATACAGCCATCCCTGCCCTTCCTGGCTTTTAGAATGGTGTTTAGTCCCCCACTGAGCACCCCCAGCTCCTGTCATCGTGCCAGCAGGGCTGGTTTGGACTCACAGGGAGCCCTGGTAGGGGTGCAGGCAGTGGGAGAGAGCCTTGCACCCCAGTGAAGACTCAGATGCAGAGATGGACAGGGGGATGCAGCAGGGCCCTCATGGCTTTGGGGAGCACCATCCGAGAAGGCTGCTCTGCTTTTCCCAGGCAGAAGAGAGGCATGGGAGCATTGAGGAGCACCTCCGGCAGCTGGAGGCCCAGCTGGAGGAGAAGAACCAGGAGCTGGCCAGGGTAAGTCCTGATCCTTGCCTGGGTACCTGGGCACACTTGGATGTTCAGGAGCAGGCTGAAAGAACAGCCTGGTTAATCCTTTCCTATCCAGGATCAAACTTGAGCCATACAGGAGCTTATGGCTTAGGGCACTCTGCTGTGAGGATTTCCCCTCTCCAAGGCAATCCAAGACCTGCTGTTAATATTCCAGCCCTCTCCTCTCCCAGCATCACACCCTGGGGCAAGCTGGGACCCCAAATGCTGGGTGGAAGGGGAGGCTCCAGCAGCTCTTTCCCCAAGCCTGGATCAGCAGGATGAAAAGGGCAGGGAGGGTGAGCTGCTGTGCCCTGGGCTGCACAGTCCCTTCTCCAGCTTCTGTGCTTCTCAACCAGAGGCTGGGCTGTCCCTGCAGGACTGATGCCCATTTCTCAGGTCACCCAGGTGACATTACAGATGTGCCCCTGGGGAAGCCCCAGATGTTTTGCCTTAAGATATTTGAAAATCCAGAGGTTCAGTGTCCATTGGGGTCTGGGAAGTGCCCCCAGTGTGGATATTCCTGGCAGATACACAGGAGAAGCTTTCTTGAGGGGCAGGCCAGCATGATCTCCCTAAATCCTTTTCTCTGCTGTTCAAACCTGGCTGGGGGGTGGCAGAGAGCAGCAGAGCCAGCAGAGGGTCCAACAGTACTGTAAGAAGTGGATTTGTCCCCAGAAGCTGGGCCTGGTGGGCCAGCTCTGACAGCACAGGATGGCAGGAGGGCGCTGAGCCCCTCTGGATGTGACACAGATGTTGCTGTGTCTGTCCCAGGCCCGGCAGAGGGAGAAGATGAATGAGGAGCACAACAAGCGGCTCTCAGACACCGTGGATCGGCTGCTGAGCGAGTCCAACGAGCGGCTGCAGCTGCACCTCAAGGAGAGGATGGCAGCCCTGGAGGAGAAGGTAGTGCCTGGGGTAGGGGTCCTCTGGGGGTTGAGGGGGCTGCAGCATCTCTGTGCCTTGTCCAGCCATGGCCCAGGGCTGGGAGTGCCTGCGCAGGGCTGGAGAAAAGGTAAAATGCAGGACACGGCTGTGCTGGGGCTGGTGGAACACAGGGAACTGCTCCAGTCACCTCACCTAGGGAGACTCCTCCCCAGCTCCTCCAGCCCCTCACAGCAGCAGGATTTGTCCTGCTCCTTTCCCTCACCTCTCTGTGTCTCTGCTGGGGCAGCCTGTGCCCAGTTGTCAGAGCAAATCCCAGCTGCATTTTGCAGGAACAAATGCAGCGTTCATCCTGTCCCAGTGCCCATCCCTCCACGTGCTGCCTTAAAACCTTCCTGCCCCCAGGTCCAGACTGATCTCCCTTCTCCAAGCCAGGGCATTGTCCATGAACATCTTCCACCTGGGGAGCTGGGTTTCCTTGGAGGAGCCAGCTGGAGCTGTGACTGCCTCCGTGTGAATGGAATTAACTGGGAGCAGCTGGCTCCAAGCAAGGATCCACCCAGTGCCAGTGGGAGGTCAGGCCTTTGTGATTCAGCTTTCTGGGGGTTCCTGCCCTCAGCAAGTTGGAATGCACAGGTGCATCCCTCAGCTGATGCCTCCAGGGCTGGCTCTGTCCCCCCTCTGCTCTGCTCCTCCTGTCCCCAGACAAATATGGCTGTGCCAGCATGTCCAGTTGTTGAGCAGATAAACTGAAGTTATCAGTCTGGATAAAGAGAAGGACCCAACCTGTGGGGATGAGTCCAAATCATCAGCAAGCAACAGGGACCAGAGTGGTAACACGTTGTGATGGGCATTGCCTACTCCCCAGTCTGGTGCCAGCACTGACCTACCCTGAGAGTTTGTCCAGGTCTTTCATGCACAAAAATGATCCTGTTTGGCTGCCAGCACTCATCAAAAGTGAGCACTGATTCAGGCAGTTACAAACTCTCCAGGGGAGGTTTAGATATTAGGAAAAAAAAATTCAAGGAAAGAATTAGAGCATTGGAATAGCCTGCCCAGGACAGTGGTGGAGTCACCATCCCTGGAGGTGTTCCAAAAACATGGATGTGACACTTGGGGTCACAGTTTAGCTGTGAACATAGCAGTGCTGGGAGGAATGGTTGCGCTCAGTCCTAGAAGGCTTTTTCAATCCTAACAATCCCATGATTTTGTGATTTTATGACCACATCTCCTTTCGCTCCTGCCTGTCCCCTAGCTTAGATGTAAAGGACATTTTTCCCCTTGGTCCAGCTGCTCGAGGAATTGTTCTCCTCTCAGCCATTCTATCTCCTAAACTTCAAGCCCTGTCCGTCAAATCCCTCACTGCCCTCCGTGGCCATGCTCAGCCCAGAGCAGGGCAGGAGTTGAGCTGTGCCCACCCTGCTTGAGAGGCAGGAGTTTGGCAGAGGAGACCTGTGCACAGGCAGGTGAGGAATAGCCCAGTGAGCATTTTTCAGGTGTTCGGTACACAGGAATTCCATACTGGCCATTCCTGGGAGGCCACAAGGCTATTTCCTCCTAAATGGTCTCTTTTTCTTTCCTGTTTTTGTTCCCTTTTATTTTATTTGGTTTTTCTTAAAGAATACATTGTTACAAGAGCTGGAAAATACCCAAAAGCAGATAGAGGAACACCAGCACGACAAGGTAAATGCAGCTGCAGGGACCTGAGCCAGTGATGGCATTGCCTCACTCCCAGCCCCCAGCTAGGGGCACTTGCACCTCCTAAAACGCCCCAGTTTGGGAGGAGCTGGGCTCCCAGGGCACCTGGCAGCATGAGGCCACACACTCAGCCGTGCAGTAGCTGTATGGGAGCTGCTGCCCCCCTCCCTGGACAGCCCTGGGTCAGTTCCCTAGCAGGCACGTTGGGTCCCATCTCTGTGTTTCTGTCACACTCACCCATCCTGAGCCCACTGGGGACAGTGGCTGGGGTGGCTTCACCTGTGCATGGAGGGGGGCTCAGGCAGCCACATCCCCTTGGCCCCTGAGGTTTCTCAGACCTGTCCCGTGCCCAGCCTGCAGAGCCCCCACAGCCCTTCATGCTCTGCTCTCGGGTGAAGCATCTCAGGAGCATCTGCATGACCCCCATGCCTTGCTAGGAAGGAGGTGGCTTTGTGGAGCAGCAGGAGCTTTTGGGACTTGCTGCATGTCTCATGCATGGTTTAGGGGATCAGGAGGGCTGCTTTTCCCCTTGGCTGCAGGGAGAATGTGTGCTTATTCCTTGTGCTTCCCCACCGTGGCTGCTCGGGTCTGGGCAGGGCAGAGCTCGCATGACACTGCTGCCACTTTCCTGGCTCAGTCTGTTTGTCCCCCAGACTGGATCCTGCTGGGCCTGGAAATGCCTTCTCCCCTCCCTCCCTCCCTCCCTCCCTGTCCACCTGCAGCCTCCCCCTGGCATCTCCTAGCACTGGGTACAGCTGCAGCTTCCCCCTGGGGATGGGGCTGGGAGCAGGAGGGACACAGGCACCAGCAGCAGCAGCTTTGGCACTGCAGATCCCTTGTCAAGGGAGCACACACATGTGGTCTGGAGCAGAACCAGAGCATCCAAGTGGGACCTGTTTTCCTTCATCTCCCAAAGCAGAATTCCTTGAGCAGCTCTGTCTCTCTGTCCTGGTCTTCCCTCCCCAGCACCCTCATTCCCTGTGCCTGCATGGGCTGTTTCTTTACTGTTGTGTCCAGGATGCTTTAAACCTGAGGTGGGGATGTGTAAAGGGAATGTAAACTTGGCAGTAGCCAAGCATGTGGGTTACCCCAAACCTGGCAGCTGGCCAGAGCAAACCCCAGCCCTGCCTGTCTCACCCCCCGAACAGCGGCGTTTGTCCGACGAGATCGACAAGCTGAGGCTGGAGGTGGATCAGCTCAAGACCAGGAGTGGGACGTTTGTGGAGAGTGTGCACACCAGGTAAGTGCCAGGGCAAACCCCTGCAGCCCTGGCTTTGGGGGGAGTTGGCTTTGGGGACCACAAAGTGCTGCTGTCACTGGGTGTTTCTGGTGCCCCCAGGCTTCAAGGGGGGTGCTCCATTCACTGCCCCCCTTTCTGTGTCTCTCCTGCTTTCCCCCTTGCCATCAGCCCCTGGGGACCTGGGTCCTCACAGCAGGGGCAGCTCCAGCCCTGGATCCACCATGGATCTCTCCTGGGGTGGGACACAGACTCTTGAGAACAGCCCAGCCCAACTGAATGACCCCAGATTTGCTCTTGTAAGGGTGAGAAGCCACTGGGCATTGTTTCTTTTTCTACACGAGTGGCTTAGGACTTACTTTGCTCTAAAAGCTGGATATTCACCCAAGGACTTCCCCCTGTAGCACAGGGGATGGGCTGGTGCAGAAGGAGGAATTCCTCTGGAGCTGTTGCAGGCGAAGGAGAATGAAGTTCCTCTTTCTCTAATGCAATGGTCCTCCCACACCCTTTCATTTAAAGTCAGCTGGGACATGGGGACGTCCCAGCCCAGGGCACCAGAAACAGAGGTGAGTCCATCGAGTCTCAGCCTCCAGCACTCACCAGGATACCCAGAGCTGCTCCAGGAAAGCCAGAGTGGAAGAGGAGGGTGACAGCACAATAACTCTGCCCTAAGCACTTCCAGTGTGGGGTCAAAGCAGCAAGGGCTCAACGGGAGCAACCAGAGAAGAAAATTCCCCTCAGAAAGGCTGGAAAAGGTGGGGAGGAGCTGGTGCAAGCAGCTTTGGGTCTGTCAGCAGAGGGAAGAAGGCCTGGAGACCCTATGTCTGTCATGGAGAGAAGAAATGGGGAGGGTGAGGAAGAGCCTGTGAGGATGAAGGAGAGCTGAGTGCTGGAGCAGAGTCTGGAGCACGTGTGGGGACTCTTTGCATGCGTCTTTACAGCAGGATGGACAATTTGGTCATTTTTTGTATTTCTCATATGAAAAGTCAGCAGAAATCTTGAGTTGCAGAATGATCCCCCAGCTGAAAAAAACTGTCAGCTTTTGTCTAAGGTGTTTTTATCTGGTTTTAGCTGGGCAGCAGCTTGTCAGTAGTTCTGAAATCCCTGGAACTTGGGTTGTGCCTTGGTCTGACACACCAGGCTGGCCCAGCAGTGCTGCTTTGGTGCTGATTTTATCTCCAGGCCTGTGTCTGCACTGCAAACCAGGCCCACCGTGGTGGAAGACCACCATGTGCGTGGGGCTGCTGCTTTGTCATCTTAAATTCACTTAAACTAAACAAACCTCGCGTCTCCAGTGACACTGAATGTGGGGATAATCACCCCGTGCCCAGGAAGGTGTCTGGCTCACATCCATGGTTGGGTCTTCAGGGCCAAGAGGAACAACCAGGCAAAGCAGAGACATGGAATGAGCACCACACTTGAGGGTTAGGCTCAGCTCAAAGTGTCCTCGTGTCCTGGTGCTGCCATGCTCGGCCTGGTACGGCCCTTACCAGGTCCTGGTCCCAAGCACCAGCCCTGGCTGAGAGGAGGAGGCTGAAGAAATCCAAGCTGGTTTCTGCTAGGAGATCCTAACAATGCTCATATCCTCATACCTGGAAGATGTTTCAGGTGGAATTTTATTCATTGAAATCACTGAATCATTAAGGTTGGAAAAGTCCTCCAGCGTCATCGAGTCCAGCCTTCACCCAAACACCAACATTCCCACTACATCACTTCACAAATTGCCACATTTACCACTTTTTTTAACACCTCCAGGGTTGGGAACTCCACCACTGCCCTGGGCAGCTTGTGCCAGGGCCTGACCACCCTTTCCATTAAGAAATTTTTCCCAATATCCAACCTGACCCTCCCCTTGAGGCTATTTCCCCTCATCCTGTTACTCACTGCCTGGGAGGAGAAACAGATTCTCATCAGGATACTTTCTCATGAAAATGTTGGAATAAACACAGAAAGGAGAAGAGCTCCCTGGCTGGCTCCTGCTGGGTACATGGGGATGGAGAGGACACAAGTTGTGTTGAGAGATTTCAGCTGCTGTGGGGAGGGAGGGGCAGGAGGAGCCTGTTCAGCCCTGGCTCCACAGCAGCCCCCAGTGCAGGGAGTTTTGGGCAGAAGTGGCTGGATGCCCTGATGGGTGCCCAGAGAAGGGGGAGGCAGCAGCAGGGGAAGGCCCAGGGCTGAACTTCTGACAGTGTGGGAAAGCTGGAGTCTCCTGGGATCAGAGGTCACCAGGGTGTGCAGCTCCTCATGAGGGGCAGCTCTGATCTCTGCTCTCTGTGAGCAGGGACAGCACCCAGGGAAGGGCTGGAGCTGGGCCAGGGCAGGCTCAGGCTGGAGATCAGGGAAAGGTTCTTCCCCCTGAGGGTGCTGGCACTGCCCAGGCTCCCCAGGGAATGGGCACAGCCCCGAGGCTGCCAGAGCTCCAGGAGTGTTTGGACAAGGCTCTCAGGGGTGCACAGGGTGGGATTGTTGGGGTGTCTGTGCAGGGCAGGGGTTGGACTTGATTGTTGAGGGTTCCTTCCAGCTCAGGATATTCTGATTCAATTATTCTGTGAGTGCATTTCCAGGTCCCCTGTGGGGGAATGGGACACCTTTTTCCAGAGCCTGGATTTGCATCCTTTCATGCTGAGCAGGCAAACATTACTGGGATGGGCATCCAGCAGTGGTCTCCTCCCC